TAATTATTTATCAATATTAATCAAAATTCTTTTTTAGAACTGAGCACCACTGTTAATACTTTCACGTCACTGGATGATTCAGGTCTGATGAAAGAACTAATGGAAAGTAATAAAAGGGTCAAGAAGAAGGGGATCTATCCACTGATTCCTGTCTACCTTGAGCAGTTCTTCGTCATTCTATCTTGCCCATTTCCAAATATTTGTTACTCTGCTGATATTCGATTTTACATTTGTAACTTTCTCAATTTCTTTCTTACGATTGTAACACAATGACGATAACGATTATAAGATGTTTACAAGATATTCTTCAAACATATTCTAGTCTAAACTTTTCTATTCAATCTAGAATTGAGTCTTCAATAGCGGATGGTTAAGAAAATATTATTTTATTTTTGATAAATCATTCATATGTAAATGCAAAGTATATTTTATTCTCTTTCAATAAAAACATTCATTAGTCATAACAGGATTACATTATAATTATTAGCTAATTATATTTAGACAATTAAAATTATTTTTTTAGACAATTAAAATTATTATTTTTATTTTAATATTATTATTTTTCATTTAAAGTTGAAATCAAATATTTAAAATAAAAAGAAAGCATTTGTATCAAATGTATAAATACTTTTTCATTTAAAAAAATTTATTTAGTATTATATAAATCCAAGTGAGTCATGTCTACTCAATTCTTTTTCACAAAATTATTACAGAAGAATTTTTTTCTCTTTTTTCTTCGTTTCCTCATTGAGTTGAATGAGTAATACATGACACGATGGATTTCGTTGAAAGATACTTATATCGTGCGGTTTTTCCGACATCATATTTCGCAATAAGAGGTCACTGACAAGAACGAGAACTTTTTCGCGCAACTCATTAGCATAGTAAATTAGTAACTGCAGTTCAACAAGCCGTCTGGCAATCCGAAGCACAACCGAACTAATACTCACGAGCAAAGGAGAAATCCTTTATTTTATATACAGATGATTATTATTTGAGAGTTAAAAATTAGTCCCTGGCGCATTCTAAAGAGGTCTCATTTAAAAGAGGACATAGCTTTTCTTTGAGTCAATAAAAAATTTGCGTTGAACGAAATCTCTTTACGAGAGGATTAATTCGTGATTAACTCCATCACGGATAATTTAAATCAAATACTCATAAAATATTTAAAAAAATTCAAATGCACATATATGCACATCTATATGAAAATAATTGTTATTAACTTTTTCATTTATATCTAAAAATAAAAGTAAATATTAATATAAGTTTCTTATTGTGATAAATCGACTTTTCAAATCCTTAAGAATCATTAAAAATTTCTTGAAGATTTATTTTTGATTTAATGACTTGGCTTGATCGGACAACAAATTGAATTCTTAGAGAAAAACCTGCGAGAAACATGTCTTTGTGTTTCGCATACCAAGTCTTTCAGTATCGGCTTTTTGAAGGAAAAAAATGGATCCATTCTGAGGACAAAACCGGTCCCTTAAATTCATCTAAGAAAAAGATGCACGTAAAAACCGTGACAGACAGAAACAGTAAAATCCTATTTCGATTAATGACTATTGCATGTGGTCCATTTTTAACGCTGACGCTGGTATGACACCATACCTGCAAGGCGAGATTTCGGATTATCTCATTAATTAATCATGCACATGCAGACTGCACTTGCCCCATGAAAATTAACATTTGTGTTAAAATTAAGATCATGGATTTTGAATCCGCAGTATTACAGTATTTTTTTAAAGTTTTAGTCGAACAAGTTAATTTTAAATAAATATGTCTCGCTAAAAAACCCGTTGCTGTTTTCTAAAAATAAATGCTAAATTATATGCGAATATAGTTTTCAACCAATCGACATCACCTAATTTATTGTTAAAACTTCATTTAAAAATGTTTAGAATTCAAATTATCCTATTCAGTCGGATTATCTAATTTTAAATTATTTATTCATATTCCTGAATTTTTTACATACACATAAATTATAGCCCAGTGAGAAATGGAATCGATGTCGAATCGACGTCAATTCGATATCATTCCATTGTCATTTCTCACTGGGAGAGAATGATAACTGTAGTTAAACTGTAAATATTGCTTATATTGTTACTCTTGTATATTTTTATACAATAACAAACTATCAAATTTGATATAAATTGTTATAAGTTCTTAATCATATTTAATATATTTTAATTAAATTTTCTTTTATTGAAACACATAAGTTCCAACTAATATTTTGAAACTTCCCCTAAATCATATACACTAAATTCTCAATTCAAAAGTACGATTTCAGTTATAACACGCAAATAAGGTAATTAATGATTATTATTTATGTACATATAATATAATTCACTGTTTTAAAACTATACTACTGTATGTTTTTAATAATAGATAATTAACAACAATTGTATTTTTTTAAAGGATGTATATTTTACTACATTTTCATCTCAAGATCTCTATTTACTACGTTATTTAGTTTAGTGGACAATAATTTTATATGCTAATAAGAAACAAAAGATATTAATTGATACATTATTTTATAAAAAATACAAAATTATTATCAGCATATTAATTAATTCGCTATTCGCAAATTTGCAATTTTTATTTATAAATAATTTTTTGTATTTTAAAAAAAATAAGATGAGTTTTCTATTTGTTGAATATTATAAAATTTCATAAATTAATTTTATTAGGATATAAAAAAGAACGAAACAAAATTAAAATCAGAAATAATTAAATATTGATTTGAAATTTGGTAACATTTAAAAGATTATAATAATTTAATATAAAAATAGATAATTAATAATTGAAAGAACTTCAAAGAAATTATATACAGTCTTAATTCATTACTTATACAATTTTTGTTATACATATTTTTTTCATTTGGAGAACCACGTTTATATATATTCTAAATCATATGGATTTCATAATACTCGTCTATAAAGGAATAAAAAAATAATAATGTAATCAGTGATAGTGATTTTAGAAATAATTAGAAAACTAACAGAATTTTATATCTAGTGACAAAGATAAATATCCAGTTGGTAGTATTGTGTAGTATTGTAATGAATGATCTACAATTTATGAAGTACGAATGAATGTGTACAAACGTATAGGACGTGAAAAAAATTAAGGAAAATGTGTGGTCGAATTTGTTGGTAAATAGTTTTATCATTATTTTATTATTAATTATCTTAATTACTACATAACATACATAATAAATGAACAAATCAATATATTATTACAACTTTTTCATGGTTACGTTGTAACTATATAAATGTACTTTATTTATATCAGTTTAATAAAACTAAATGTTGAAATTCACACTGTACATCCTTATCCACTGATATATAATAATGTCAAAACTTTCTAATTTATATAAATATTTCATAAAATATATTGTAATTTATAGCTCATTGGATCCTGAAACTTTGTGTTGCGCATGTGGATATAAGGATGCCAATGGTAAACAACGTAAATTGGCATGGGTTAAAACTAAATTAAAATATGATCCATCATATAATATGTGCCCACGAGACATCCTGCCTTGTATAGTATCTGGTTCACATTTTGAAGAAGAAAAAGAGGAAAGAGTTCTTTGTGCTATGACATGGGGGATGATTCCACCTTGGTATCAGGCGAGTTATAATATAAATTTATAGATATGACATTTGTTATTTGCAATCATGTCATTTTATGTTTAAGTTAAAAATTGATTAATTTTAATCATATTGGGTCGTCCAGAAAGTTCGTGCCGCAAAAGATTTAAATTTAATAAATGAAATTAAAAATTTAATTCTACATTTCAATTTTCCTTCAAAATCGGCACGAACTTTCCGGACAACCCAATATGATTAAAATTAATCAATTTTTTTATAAAATATATCACATGGTTTAAGTTAATTTATATAAATTATTTGATTATCAATTTTCCAGGGGGATTATAAGAAACGTCCAAATAAGATAGCCACTCACAACAGTCGTTTGGAAAACATACATTCCTCAACGGTATATTCTCCATCATTGCAAAAACAACAAAGATGTATCGTGATCTGTGAAGGCTTCTATGAATGGAAGCCTGGTACAGATAGCAAAATTCAGAAGCAACCATACTACATATATGCAACTCAAGACAAAGAGATAAAAGCAGATGATCCTACAACATGGAGTAATGAATTTTCTGAGACAGGTGGATGGAAAGGTTTCAATGTATTAAAACTGGCTGGGATATTTGGAGTACATAAAACTGAAGAGGTTATATATCTGTTTTTTTCCTATCTGATTCCTACAACAATTTTATCAGATATGTATAAGATATTATTTAGTTATTATATCTTAGGGGAACATTATACATAGCTGCTCCGTTATTACAAGAGACAGTAACAAAGTATTGTCTTGGCTACATGACCGTATGCCAGTATGTCTAAGCAACGAGGAAGAATGTCAAGTAAGTGTTTACATAATATTATATATAATTCGTAGAAAAATACAAGTTTATTATTATCTTATGTAATTTTTTTCTAGGTATGGTTAAGTAAATATTTATCGACAGACGCGGCAATTAAAACATTAAATGACATGGTATTACAAGAAACTGCACTAAACTGGCATCCGGTATCTGTGATTGTCAATAATGGACTCAATAAAACTATTGAGTGTAGAAAAAAAATAAAACCAAAGTAAATAGAAACTTATAAAGCTAAAAGTAAACACTTTATTGCTTTGTAAAACCATATATTATAAAAATTTGTATATTATTTACCGATATCTGTATTATGACAGTTAAATTAAGTAAATTATTAATTTATTATTATTATATAGGGAGATTGGTCAAGCATCTTTTATGACTTCTTGGCTGCAGAAAGGATCAGCAGTTTCAAATAAAAGAAAAAGCACAGATGATAAAGACACAAACAACAAAGAGGATAAAAATATTTCAAAAATTCGGAAAGAAAATTAAAATTTATAAGAAACTGGTGATTAAATATTTATGTAACAATTTATTTTTCTTTCAATATCTAAGATTTACTGTAAGCAGTATATTTTATGAAGTATTTGTATATATAATTATTAATTTAACTAATTACATTTAATATTTTAATTTTAAATTAATTTAATATATTATTAGAAACTCAGGAAACAAACAACTACCTCTTTAAAGAATTACATTGTATCATATTTTTTTTAAGAATTGTATTTAGAAAACAAAATAACGTTTTTAGTAAAATACTCCACGTGTAAAATTGTATTCACATAATGTTTTAACAAATAGATTCCTTCAATAACAATAGAATACTTTATCCTTTCACTTATAGATATCCTTTCACTAGATATATGAGGATATAGGATTTGCTAAGTTTTCCGTTTTTATAGATACTGAACTATCCAGAATCTACTATTATTTTCTTCAAATTTTATTTCTATTAATTCATATTAATCATTTTATCCATATTAACAACATAATAATATAAATTGTTAATATTTACATGATTAATCAAAGAGTCTCAAAATTATACAAAAAGATGATGTAAGATGAATAATTATGGCATTGAGAAGTGAAATCATCGTTTAATCGGTCCAAGTCGCATGTATGACTTGAAATGACATTCTCTGAAAAAATGTAGACAAATCACTCTAAGAAGAATAAATATAAAAATTAACACAAGAAAAATACACAATGTAAAAAAGAACGAAAAATTATTCCCAATAATAGCTCTATTTGCGTTGCTTAAAATTCTCAAAAATTTTTGTATCTCAAATGAGATAAATATACTTTGGCGTTGAAAAGAGAGAGCGAAGATACTGAATGCAAAAGATGCAACGCGAACAGAACTTGGATTCTTGAAAAATATCGCATATGAAAATGTATAGATACACTATAATATACATTATGTATACTATAGATTTTCCTAGTTTTTCATACGAGATACTTTTTAAGAATCAGGCCCCAGATTTATTGTGTAATTTCTCAGTGCAAATTAAAGAATAAATTAATGCCTATTAATTCAGAGTCAAGTCTTATATTTAAGACTTCTTTAAATTTATTTTCAGATGCTCTACGAATTATTTTATTGGGTATTAAAAATAAAAAAAAAAATTTAAGAAAGCCTTAAATATAAGACCTGATTATGAATATGAGTATAAATACCTTATACTATATCATAAAATATCAACGATTCGAATATCACGATTCAAATGCTTCATCCTCAGAGCCATTTTAAACAAGTTAAGTGCCATCTGTAGTTCACTGTATGTCTTCACTAGGGACAGTCGGTTGGCAGCGCGTGCGCAGTTTTATGCCTTGCCGTCGGTGCCGCTGCCGCCATTTGCGCCGCGAGTGGGCGCATTGCGCAGTCATGCGCAGTGTGCGCGCCTTGCCGCAACAGATCTTGCAGACCAGGTTACGTGCGTAAGTGCGTGTCTTTCGTACAATCGCTGCGCGCGACTCTTCGCCGTCGTCATCTTTCCATGTTCTTCCTATGATTCGACAGTGAAAGCCACTATTCGTTAATGAGAGAAAATCGGCACATGACACGTTGATTCCTAGTGACTGGGAGTCGAGTAGCAGGAAAGCGAGACTCGAGATCGTCTGTTGTGTACGCGTGCGAGCCCAGCCTCCTCGCGAGTGCGTGCTTGGCGTGTGTCGTACGTGTGTTTCATATTTCCTACTAGATCCAAAAAGCGGCGAGCTGACCAGGATGACTAGTGGCGAGGAGATTGATAGGAGTGTGATGAACGTCGAAACCGTGTACCACGAGGTCAACTCCAGGAACGGTTGGGCGTCTTTCTATCAGGTGAGATGAGAGAGGAAGAACGAGGGTGAAGGAAGGAAGAAGAAAGGAAAGAAAAAGTAACGGAAGAGGCTCGGGTGAGGGAAAAACGGCTCGTTCTTTCGCTCGACGATGGTTTTTCTGTTTGCTGTTTCCGCGTTTTTAGAATCCATTGATGCTGTCCCGGCTGACACGTCTTTTGCCGGCTGCTTCTCGTCGCCACACGATTTCTCTCTTTCCATCTTCTGTCCATGGTCTTTTCTCGCATCCCGCATTATCGCTCTCAGAATCTCTTTTTCGCAGCCATCGTTTTTTCGCATTATCATTAAATATTCCCGCGTGCCGCGTGTCACGTCTGTCATGGTCTGCCAAAAATGTCAAACTCGGCTGAAAAATTGAACGTCGTCTTAGATTCCGACACGCTTCGTCATCGAGATTCACGGGCATCGCCGGCTCAAACCGCTGGATTTTTTATTGACTTTATACACGGGCAGTGATAACGTCTGATGATAGCGGGACGCAAATGTCGTATACACGCGGAAACGTATATTCTTTTTTTCTAAATAGATCCGATTCGGATTTGCGAATTGTCTCGCGACTACAAAGCGACTTTTGTCATGCGAGGATATGTTTAGAGGTTTCTTTATATATGTCTACGGTCGATAGTAGTTCATGATATTCCGTGCTTCAACACAGACAATAGACAGTAATACCGTTCGATGTCGACACGCGGATTCGCTGAACATGATACGGCTTCCGCGTTATTGCTAATGCTATCGAAGATTTGAACGACGCTAAGAGAAACACGAGTCTGCATAGATTTAGTCAACTCGGCTCTAGTCGATTTAAACTGCCGAAGGAAAGTGATTTCGCGATAGCCGAGATTCAAGACGATATATGCATGACGATGTTATGACATGCGAGTGTACTCAAGGTCAGACTTCCAACTTGGAAATACATATTTAGCGATCGCATAATTTCTCCGAAGCGCAACACGAGTAACTTGACTATGATACGCTTAGAATTTTTCTGATAAGATTGTATTCTTGTTAATTGAGATTTCTTTACGCTACCTACTATGAATAAATTTTATTTTATTACGTACATAATTTTTATCTATGTATATAGATGTAATTTTATCTTGTCTTTTATACAATCATTGTTAATCTAATATAGATTATGCAGTAAAATTTCTTGAAACTTATTGCACAAATTTAAATATTTTACGTAATTCATATTTCCCAGTAATTTGATTTTCTATTTAGAAATCTTCAACCAAATGTTTATTACAAATTTTTATATCAGACTTTATTTAATTACATTTTGGAGTAGTTATACTATAAGACCATATGATTGTGTAATAATCAGTACAATTAATGATTGAACATATATTAGAGAGAGAGAGAGAGAGAGAGAGAGAGAGAGAGAGAGAGAGAGAGAGAGAGAGAGA